TTTCGTACCTTACATTTTTGCATACTGCTGGGAGCAACATCCAACTTTGAATTCCTTTTTTGTCTATTAATGGGACACCCATTTTTGTCTATTAATACTATATTCATACTTTTGCTTATTGATTATTTTTGTTTTAAGTTTATTGATTATAGAGTTTTTAAATTTATTTTGGTAAGATTTGACCACAATTTTTTCCGTCTATAATGATTACTATTATTACTCGGTGTCAATTTTTACACATGAATTTGCTTTTTTTTTTCTCTTTTTTTTTTAATGCTCAAAATCCTTTTTTGATCACTACCTTACTTAATGTCATAACATGAATTTGTTTATTCTATATTTTATTTTATTTTATTTTTATTTTTTTGGTGATATTGGTTGGGTGATTTTGTAGACTTGTCCACTGATATACTATTTTGAATAGTTGTTTCTATTAAGAGTTTTTTTTTTAAGTGGTTAATGTTAGTGGTAATTTGTTACAAGAATTTGATTAGGTGATAAAATTTTAAATATTATATACTGTTCAAATAGTACATATATTAATTGTTTTCTTTCATTAATTGTTTTCTTTCCTAGTTGATGAACCCAATTGATCAAGTTACATGATTCCACCTTAAATTTGATGACAACAATTGGCAGACCATTCCAATTTTGTTTTGTGTAACCTATTGCAAAATTTTTATTTTTTTATTGTTTATTACATAGTTTTTTTTAAAAAAAAACTTGTGGTTATTATTATTTTTTTATGGCAGATTTGTTTTAGATCGTTTGTATCCTCCCTTTTTTTTATTTATTTGATTATAATTGTTGCTTTATAAATTTGACATTCATAACAACAGAACCACATTGTTCCCTAACGACTATCCATAAAATTTTAATTTGTCATTACTCCTTTATATATATATATCTTGGCAATTTTTCACATAGGTCAACTCAAGTCAATCTAATAAAAAGGTTTGATTTGTGTGTGTATATGTATATGTGTGTGTGTGTGTGTGCGTGTGTATATATATATATAATCTTATTCTTAGTCATAACTTGTTTCTTAGGTTTTTTTTTGGAAAAAAGTCATGATTTCTTGACAATAATTCGTGTCTTGTAATTTGTTGGGATAATAACCGTTTTTTTTAAAAAAAAAGCTAGTGTCAAATATCTTTGTCCAAAAATTTGTGTTAGGTTACCTTTGACCTAAGAATTTTATCTTATTAACTTGATTTTAGGTGATCTTTTTTTTAAAAAAAAATAAAATAATAAATAAATGAATAAATTTTATTCCACAGAATTTTTTCCTTTGGGTTAACTTTATTCAAAGAGTATTAATTTTAATTTTAATTAGCTTTTTCTTATGAATTTTAGATGACATTCGCTCTAACAGTTTATAACTTTTGTGTTAATTATAAGTGGCTTCTGCTTCAAGAGTTTAATTTTATTTTTTTATTATTATTATTAATTTTCTTTTGACCACCTTAAGTGATTTTTGTGTTGACTTAGGTGCGTTTTGTGATAATTTTAGGTGACTTTCCATGAAAGCCCTAAGTGACTTCTGTAAAAATTCTAGGTGACATCTGTAATAATCTTAGGTGACTTCTATAACAGTCTAATGTGACTTCCGTAACAGTAGTAGGTGACTTCTGTAAAAGTCTTAGGTGAATTATGTAAAGGTAACTTCTATAACACCACTAGGTAATTTCTGTAACAGCCTTAAGTGACTTTTGTAACAATCCAATGTGACTTCTGCAACAGCACTAGGTGATTTTTGTAACAGCACTAGGTGACTTCTGTAACAGCCCTAGGTGACTTTTGTAACAGCTCAAGGTGACTTCTGTAACAGCACTAGGTGACTTCTGTAACAGCCTTAAGTGACTTCTATAACAGCCCTATGTGACTTTCTGTAACAGGCCAAGGTGATTTCTGTAATAGCCCAAGGTGACTTCTGTATCAGCCCTAGGTGAGTTTTGTAATAGCTCTAGGTGACTTCTGTAACAGCCCTAGGTGACTTCTGTAATAGTCTTATGTGACTTCTGTAACACCCCTAGGTAATTTCTGTAACAGCTCAAGGTGACTTTTGTAACAGCCCTAGGTGGCTTCTGTAATAGCCCAAGGTAACTTTTGTAACAGCCCTAGGTGACTTTTGTAACAGCCCAATGTGATTTCTATAACAACCCTAAGTGACTTCTGTAACAGTCCTAGGTGATTTCTGTAACAGCCCTAGGTGACTTCTATAACAGCTCTAGATGACTTATCTATTCTTGTATTGCTAATATTATTATTATTATTTTATTCCCACTTTTATTTATAGCATCAAGGTTTATATATATATTAAATTCTTATTTGCCCTCTTTTTTTCTTATTATTATTTTTATTATTTTTCAGATGGCCTCATCTCAAAAAGCCAAATTGGAAAAAATTATCAAAATTTCAAGTCAAATAAAGAACTTACCTTCCGATGAGTGGATTGTTGAGTCAGAAGATCTAATTCTGAAAGACAAAGTTTTGTGTTTTCCAACTATTGTGGTAAAGAACTACAGAACCAACGAGATGTCAACATTATCACTCAAAATTCTTGAGCCCATGACTGGTCCCTACAACCGCTCGAGAATAATCTATGAACCTGAACTTTATATGCCAATGATTAGTGAATATCCTCTACCAGAGAACATACACAAAAGTGACATGGTTAAGTCAGATCGACTATCCTCACTTTGCGCGCCTCCGTATCATTCCAAAGATCATCTTAGCCCAAAGCCACTTGTTGCTGATCTGATCAACCAAAGGAATGCGAGGTGGAGATGTTCATTGAACCCAAGGGGAGATATTCAATATCTGAATGGGTTTTGGAGTGGTCTCAATGAATTTACCTCAAGTTGTTATATAAGGGTTTCAACGAACTTGCTTATGTTGTGCATGCAGCTTCTTTTGACTACTCTCGACCCAACAGTGTATATCGCGCCCTTTGTGAAGTTTGGTGTCCACAAACGAATACATTTGTTACGGAAGCAGGAGAAATTTGAACCTCACTTTGGGAAATGCGACACGTCACCGATCTTTCAATCCGTGGTGAATATTTTGAAGAAGTTATCCCAAATTTGATTGAATTGAGAGACTCTGATACTAGTGTTCTTCGTGTGACTTGTCTGCACTTGTTTAAGGCTTTTGTCTTAATTAATAAGAAGAAAGGAGATAATTGTCCTCGTCATTCAAATTGGCTTGATTTTTGGTTCAAGGATGGTGCACATGTTCTGCATCCTAAGAAGAGCAAGGCATATAAAGCAGCCATGACAAATTGCTTTAAAAGGGATAGAGAACTTTTTGCAAAGCAAAGATTGGTGAGACCTATTCAGGCAGAAATACAACCTATGAAGACAAAGGTCAATGGTAATGATCCCTTCATTCTTTTAGATCTTGACATTGATGTCACAACACGTGAAGACTTGGAGATTTCAGCTTATTTAGCTTTATGGCTATGTCGCTTTGTATTTCCTTCATCGGATGATGTTANAAGCAGGAGAAATTTGAACCTCACTTTGGGAAATGCGACACGTCACCGATCTTTCAATCCGTGGTGAATATTTTGAAGAAGTTATCCCAAATTTGATTGAATTGAGAGACTCTGATACTAGTGTTCTTCGTGTGACTTGTCTGCACTTGTTTAAGGCTTTTGTCTTAATTAATAAGAAGAAAGGAGATAATTGTCCTCGTCATTCAAATTGGCTTGATTTTTGGTTCAAGGATGGTGCACATGTTCTGCATCCTAAGAAGAGCAAGGCATATAAAGCAGCCATGACAAATTGCTTTAAAAGGGATAGAGAACTTTTTGCAAAGCAAAGATTGGTGAGACCTATTCAGGCAGAAATACAACCTATGAAGACAAAGGTCAATGGTAATGATCCCTTCATTCTTTTAGATCTTGACATTGATGTCACAACACGTGAAGACTTGGAGATTTCAGCTTATTTAGCTTTATGGCTATGTCGCTTTGTATTTCCTTCATCGGATGATGTTATTTGTCCAACTATCTTCAAGATTGCCTCCCGAATGGCTGTTGGAGTTACATATTGCTTGGTTCCCCCTATTGTTGCAAACATTTACAGAGGTATATCTGAGACATGCAACACCCGATATGATCAAAAGAACCTCGGAATGGTTTCTTATGCTTTTCCAGGTCATTACTTTTGTGCTTGGGCAGCGTTGCATTTCCCTCGGAGAGTTTATGCTGAGGTTGCTAAAGAGCTTGATCGTCCTTTACATCGACAATTCAAAGGTATATTGAATGCTTATCTTTTTTATGAGGAAGAAGTGAAAGGATTTCGAGATCTTCTGCGTGGAAGTATGAGTTCCAATGATTTTTGCTGGCAACCAATTCCCTATTCTGGAAACCGAGGACCTCGTCGTGATGATGGACAAAGATCAGATGAAACCTCTGAATTAATGACAAGTATGTGAGGTGGACACGTCATGTATCGTCGTGGGCCAGTTTGCATTCTTGAGATGTATAACTGACATCGCTTTGCTAGGCAGCATGGATTTCATCAAAGATTACCGGGTACTCCTTCACATCCATCAATAATTTTATTGGATGCCCCTTTTTTATATCGGGTGTAGTTGAGTTTAACCAGGATAAACAGTGGGGCAGGATTCCATGTCCTTAATAATTGCGCTCGCATTGAGAATCGATGTGACAGTAGTTATAACAACTGGTGGAAATATGATGTACTTCCACACCTAGACGGCATCAATTGTAAAACCTTGTTAGCTAGTGAATCTGAGAATTTCAAATTCAAAGCTCAAGCTGATGGGTCAGGGAAGGGGAAATCCCTTCCTACAGTAGCTAAAGCTCCTTCACGTCTTCGAAAACGGGACACTTCAAAGGATTGTTTGAATTCTCAAGAACAACCGACTCCGAAGATGTTAAAGGTCACAACACCTGTTTCAAGATCAGCTAATGTTCGATTTGTTCATCCTTTAAACATCTCAGAGTCTGCTAAAGTGAGTTCGTCAAACAAATCTGATCATGCACTCCTTTCAGCCCGCATGTCTAAGAGTATTTTCAAGAAACATGATATAGGCTCAAATCGAGGAAGGATTCCAAGCACAATTGTACCAGTTGATAATCTTAGTTCTATTAAGCAGGTAATTCAAGAGAGGTGGCAAACAGGAGCTACAAAATCCGAGCATAATTTGGCTTGTACCTGGACAAAAGATGGTGCAAATCATACTACTATAAAATCTCTCACAAGCAGGGTTGACCCATCTTGTGATGTTCTGAATGACTTATCAACTTTTTTAGAATTATCCCCACGATCCCGCAATAAAGGTGCTTGCAAAATTTTATTACTATTATCATTTTTTTATTTCAAACCTCTTATCCTTCTTTTTTTTTTTTTTAGCTTGTCCTCCACTCCCAGATCTTGTCACATTAAATTTCATCCCAGGTATTTGTGGAAACCAAAATCTTGACAATGATATCATTGAAGCTTTATTTGATGACAACGATCGGACCATGTCCATTCTTTCCAGCAGTGGAGGGATTCTTCCTTTGGTTGATGGAGAACATACCAATCCATGTGAAGGGGAAGTTAATTCTAAAATAAACTCTTCATGTGTTATACAAGCAGGGCAAGAAGCTATTAATAATTTTGTTATGAATACTCTTCTTGAGCCAAATGGACCTGGTGAAGCACGATCTCCAAGACTAATGCCGATGTTTTCATCTGTCTCAGGTATATTTTACTAGCCTGATCTAGTTGCCCTTTCGATTAGTATGCAACTAATTGCATATCTTTATTTATGTCAAGTTCTCCTATTGAAACAATTACTTCTGAAAGATTGGGAAAGAAAATAATTCTGACCGGGATGCCCCCATATTTGAAGGGTGAATTTGATTATGCCATGAAAAATGGCTTCTCTGGATTGAAGACCTGGTGGATCTCTAAGTCTTCAAGTATTGAAGATACTCTTAAAAAGCTATTCTATGTTGACACAGATCCTTTGGTGAGAAAAATGGATTGTCTCCTTATGAAAGTAGATGAGTACCTTTCAAAACGCTAGAAAAGTGTCAAAGTTTTAATCTTTGGAGAAAGATAGAAGGTTGGCGACAATTAATAGCACGATATCAAGAGGACAATTCAAAGTTCTTGGCTTGAGTGAACAACTGTTGAAATCTGAAGTAGAGCTATTGAGTCTTGATGATGAAATCCGGCAATTGCAAGATTGAAGGGGNAATGATGAAATCCGACAATTGCAAGATTGAAGGGGCGAGGTAGCATCTAGCATTGACTTCATTCGTGATGAATGACAGAACACTGAAGAGACTATTGTGGTGATGGAAAAAGACTGTGCCAAACTCCAGGAGTCTCATATTCGCAGCATTGAGGAGATACAGGATATAGATAAGATGTGATCCATATTAAAAAAGGAATTTGTTTCACTAGCCTCGATCGACTGGGTTGAAAATTTTGTATGATCTCATAAATTGATTCTCAAATAACTTAGATATCTCAAAGAAAAAGTTTAAGTTTAAACATAATTTCGAAGGAATTTTTTTTTTTGTTGAGTCGTACACAGTTTTAACTCATGCGGTCTAGGAGTAAAAAAAAAATTTTTTTGGTTAAGCCATACACAGTTTTAACTCATACAGGCCAGAAGTAAAAAAAAAAATTTTTTTTTTTTTGGGTTAAGTTGTACACAGTTTTAACTCATGCAGACCAGGAGTAAAAAGGTTTTTTTTTTTTGGTTAAGTCGTACACAATTTTAACTCATGCAGGCTAGGAGTAAAAAAAGTTTTTTCTTTTTGGTTAAGTCGTACACAGTTTTAACTCGCGGCCCAAGAGTAAAAAGGTTTTTTTTTAAGCCGTATACAGTTTTAACTCTTACGGGCCAGAAGTAACATGCAGTTTAGGCTCGTGCGTAAAGGAGCGTATAGACCTTTATTTTTGGTCAAGTCATACACAATTTTAGCTCATGCGGGCCAGGGGCAACAAGTTTTTTATTTTTATTTTTGTTTTATAGGTTGGCGCCGTGCACAGTTTTAACTCATGCGGGCTAGGAGTGACATGTAGTTTAGACTCGTGCGTAAAAGAGCGTTGCTTATTTTCAGGCGTAGAAACGCTTTAAGAATTTTCCATTGATTGGGTCAACCCTCAAGTCATCTTTGTCAACAATCTTGTATGCGTCGTTGGTGTAGACTTTTTTCACCACATATGGACCATCTTATTTTTGCATGAATTTTCCACCAGTGTGATGTAGAATGACAATGGGTCTTCGAATTGCAATGACCAAATCTCCTATTTGGAATGATCGGACATGAACCCTCTAATTGAAGGCTTTGGAAAGTCTGGCTTGATAACATTCCAGGTTTTGTTGTGCATCTAGTCTCTTCTTGTCAAGTGCTTCAAGTTCATCCAGACGTAAATGAACATTTTCTTCATTTGTGAGCTCTTCTTGTAAGGCAATTCGTAAGGAGGGAATTTGAAGTTCCAATGGAAGAACAGCTTCAATGTCATACACAAGGTAATATGGAGTAGCTTGTGTTGGAGTTCGGTATGTTGTTTGATATGCCCAGAGAGCTTCACCAACCCTTTCATGTCAATCCTTCTTTGATTTGGAGACAACTTTCTTCATCAAGTTGCACAAGGTTTTATTGAAGACTTCTGCGAGTCCATTGGCTGGTACGTTGTACATAGATGAATTATGTTGTACAAACTCAAATTTGATGCAGAGCTTGACCATGAGGCTATTGATAAATAGTTTTCCATTATCAGTGATAATGTAACGAGGTACAGCATACCGATATATAATATTTGTTCGAATAAAGTCGACAACATTTTCTTTTTTCACTTCTTTAAAAGGAACTGTTTCTGCCCACTTGGAGAAATAATCGGTTGCTGCTAACATGTAAAGATGTCTTGCTGATGATTTTGGAGTCAAAGGTCCTACGACATCAAGTCCCCATGCATCAAAAGGCCATGATGCAACATTAGGATGCAATGGTTCAGGTGGCTGGTGAATGAAGTTGGCATGGAACTGACAAGCTTGACATTTCTTAGTGTAATTCATCGAGTCTTGTACCATAGTGGGCCAGTAATACCCTATTCTCTTTATGCGAAAATGTAGGCCCTAATTGATGAGCACCACAGATTCCAGAATGAGCTTCTTCGAGTGCTTGAGCAGCTTTATCTTCATCCAAACATCGTTAAAAAATACCATCAAATGAATGACGATATAGGATGCCTTTATAATAAATAAATCGAGAAGCTCTTCGTCGTATCTCAGTTCCATGACGTGGGTCATTTGATAATTTTTCATACTACAAATACTCAATCAAAGGTTGCCTCCAATCTTCATTTTCAACTTGCACTACTGAAATGGTAGTAACTTCCTTCATTTCAGAGAGTAACGGAGGTATTACCCATCTTTGACAAACTGAAAATGAAATTATTTGGTAATAGGGTTTTGTAAGCATGACTGCAAGATTGGCAAGAGCATCAGCATATCTGTTTTCACCGTGTGGTACATTTTCAATGGTGACTCGATCAAACTGACTCATAAGTTGAGTTGCATAGTGACAGTATGAAATCAAATCTGGTTTGCGAACATCGTATAACTCCAAAACTTGATGAACCACCAACTACGAGTCTCCATAGATTTCCAACTGAGAGAGCTGCATATCAAGTGTCATTTCTAAGCCAATAATCAAAGCTTGGTACTCCGCCATGTTATTAGAGCAAGACTCTGTAAAGGTAATTGCATAAGGCAATACTTCGTCTTCAGGGGTAATTGAGACCACACCTGCACCAACTTCATACCTTCGAGCAGCACCATCAAAGTATAACATCCAAGATGGTATGAAGTCAGTGAAGAAAACTTCTTCATCTAGCAATTCTTCTGGTAATTCCCAGTCTATAGGGATCAGGTGATTTGCAAGAAAATCAACTAATGTTTGTCCTTTGACTGCTCTTTGTGGAACATAAACTATGTCATGTTCAGACAATAGAAATGCCCACTTTGCCAACCTTCCTGAGGGAACTGGTCTTAACATAATGTACTTGACAGGATCAGATTTTGAAATGAGATGAACATCATGAGCTAGCATATAATGTCTCAACTTCTTTGTAGCGAAGACTAATGTAAGACACATCTTTTCAATAGGTGAGTAGTTTAGTTTTGCACCTACTAATGTCCGACTCAAATAGTATAATGTGTTTTTATTTCCCTTGTCATTAACTTGTGCTAAGAGTGCTCCTAATAACTATTCTTGGGCAGCAATATAAAGGATCAATAGTTCTCCTTGAATTAGTGCTGCGAGGACCGGGGGATGAATGAGATATTATTTTATATTTTCAAAAGCATTCTGACAGGCATCATCGCATTCAAAAGGAACACCCTCTTCATTAGTTTATTGAATAGATGACAACATCCGGCAAAGTTCGAGATAAATCTTTGTATATAGGCAAGTCTTCCTTGAAGACTTTTCAAGTCATGCAGATTGCGAGGCTCTGACATCTTTAGGATAGCCTCTATTTTTGATTGATCAATCTCGATGTCTCGATGCCCGACAATAAATTCGAGGAACTTGCTAGAGGTAACCCCAAAGGCACACTTTAAGGGATTCATTTTTAGTTGATATCTTTGAAGTCATTCAAAAATGTTGCACAAATCATCAAGATGATCTTCACATCTTTTTGTCTTTACGACCAGGTCATCAACATAACATTCAACCCTTTTGTGTAGTACATCATCAAAAATCTTTTGCATTGCAAGTTGATATGTGGCACCAGCATTCTTGAGTCCGAAGGGCATCACTCTGTAGCAGTAAACTCCCTTGGGGGTTCGAAATACAATGAGTTCTTCGTCCTTGGGGTCCATTCAAATTTGATTGTATCCAGAGGAACCATCCATGAAAGATAGGACCTCATGTCTCGTAGTTGCATCACCATGAGTTCTGTAATCGACAATGGAAAATAATCTTTCGGACATGCTTGATTTAAATCTCTGAAATCTACACAAACTCGAATTTGTCCATTTTTCTTTTTGACAGGTACAATATTAGCAATCCATGTTGAATATTTGACTTCTCGAATGAATCCAGCGTCTATCAACTTGTTGACTTCAGCTTCGATCTGCGGGACTAGTTCTGAATGGAATCTTCGTTGTGGCTGCTTAATGGGTTGAACTCCTTGTTTAACAGCAAGATGATAAACTGCAACTTTGGGATCAAGCCCTGACATTTCTTTGTATGACCATGCAAAAACATCTTTATACTCCTGTAATAGTTTAAAGTACTCACATTCCTCTTGAGATTTTAGAAGAGCACTGATGAATATTAGTCTTGAATCATTTTCCGTTCCTAGATTCAATTGCTTTAGATCATCAACAGTGGCTTGCCCTTCTTCTTCAAAAGTCGATGGTGCTGGTTCAGGCTCATCATCAGAAGTTAAGCCTTTTAGTTCTGAAGTTTCATCAATAGTCACATGGTTCACAGAGTCAACTTCTTCCTCAATCTTGAATTTATTGATTGGTAAGGAAGAAACATTCCTTGAACATATCTGATCCAAATTTTGAAAAACGATGCAAATTCTCATATTTCGATCCTTCTTTCTCAATGATACGATGTTTCCAATCCACGCGGGATTTTTTGCTTCCTAAATGAAACCAGACTTGACCAATGTATTAAATTTGACTGAAAATTGTAAAACTAATTTTTGACAGAACCACTGTGGTGACAAAATGTCATCT